CAAAGGTGCCATGAAAGCCTCAGGGCCAACGAGCGTGGCACGAGCGCCCTGGTACTCCAGAAGGAGGCCGAAATAGCGGGTGGCGTACTCGCGGCTGCTCTGGATCCGAGTGAGGTTGCGGTTGATGCGCTGCCTGTCGGGGCCCGCTCTGTGCCAGATGTCCTCGCACATGTCGACCGCGGTGCGATGACGCAGGGCGTCGGTGGTGTCCTCGGACGCCTCAAGGAAGAGGTGATCGTACTGTGGCAGATGGAGCGTCGCCAGGATGTACGGGACGCAGTCCTCGAGCCATGCCCAGAACATGTCCTGGTTATCCTCACCTGGTGCCCACGCCGCAGCACACGGTATGAGCCGGGCGCGGATCATCATCAGGTGCCAGAAAGCAGGGTCTTCCTCGGGTTCGCCCCTATCTCGCATGGGAGTGGTGGGACCCGTAGGGCAATAGCGGGGCACAACAGCGGGGCTGAAGCCGCCACTGTGTGCATGGCCAATACTGCACGGACTCGCGGCAGCGGTGCCGTCCACGATCGGGTCCAAAATGGTGCAGTGATCGTACTTGTAGATGCTGTTATCGTAGAGGTAGAAAAGGGACGCACGTTCAACGTGCTGCAGGAGAAACCCACCTCCATGCTGTGGCGCACCGCCTGAAGACGGGTGTGCTCCAGCGAGCGAGGGGAGGGCCAGGCTGCAAGCAAGGCGCCACATGATGGCGAGGCCTGGCGGGCGGCGCGAGCGATGAGCCAAAAGCTGCATGTCAGCACGCATCTTTAGGTACCCCTGCATGCTCATGTACATTGCAACAAACACACCCACAGCAAGATGACAGGTGTCCCTACACCAGGTAGCTTGCTCGTGCTGCTGCCAAAAATGACATGATATAGCAAGGAGGAGGTACGACGAGAAGTGAGAAGGGATGCCTCTGAAGGCGCTTCCTCGGAGGGCTGAGGCGGGCCCTCTGAGGCACCTTCAATAGGGTTCCTGTGTGGCCCGCCCCTTGTCTTTGCCTTTGTCAGCCCCTGGGGGCCCCGTCCCTGGGGTGACCTGGCCTGGCTGGTCGATCCACCCGCAGACAGCCACGGTATCGGCAACTGGTGCAGCTTCCTCCTTTTTGGTTTCGAGGGTGGCCACCTGGGGCAGGTGGATGGTACCCCCCGTGAGGTGCCCGAGGAGGGCCTGGATGTCGCCGCGCAGTGCAGCAGCTCCGGTAGTTGCCGTCTGTTGCTGAGTGACGACGGTGGCAAGCCCTCGTTCCAAGCCTGAAACGTGCTCCGTGAGTGTGGCCTGGGATGAGAGAACGCCCGCAAGCTGGACCTGCATGTTGTCCACCGTGTTGGCAAGCAGCTCGTGCTGTTGTTCCATGTGTTGGATGCGGGTCGTGGCGGCATCTGACAGTTTAGGGGCCGTAGCGAAGCGTTCGCCGAGGGTGTTCGGTTCGCGCGATGTCACGCTGAATTCATCCCCTGATGAGAGGATCTCGACGTCGCCTGGTACCTCGGCGGCTGCGTCAGCGTGCCCTTCCGTGTGGCCCCCACCTTCAACCGCCACCGTGCCAGGTTGCGGGTCATGCCCGTCCCCACCTGGTCCTTGGACGGCCGTCTGCTCGGCAGCTCCATCCGTGCCGTGCGGGGGTGCAGAGGAGCTGCGGCCTGGGGCGCCGTGTGATCTTGCGTGCGGCGTGGCGTCGCGTTTCCCGCTGGAGGATCGGTGGCGCTTGGCTAAAGGCTCCTCCTTGGGGATTGGGAGCAGTGCGACGCCCTTGCCTTTGGGCGTGGCAGTCATGAGGTCGTGGAGGTAGGGGCTCTGGGCCGCTTTGGTTAGGAGTGTGCCCGTGGCGGGGCTGAAGCCGCCACCACGGGCGGGCGGCGTCACAGGCTCTGTGATAGTGGTAGGGGTGACAATGGTAACGTTGTCCCTCTTCGGCACGACCTCAGCCAACGGGGCCTCGGTGATGCTCCACGGGATGGGGCACCCTGCGACCTGTACCGTATATGTGGGTGGGGGACGATGAGCGCGCACTAAGGCAAACTGCGCCGAAGTGGCTGGGTCCCAGGCGGTGTGGTAGACCTCACAGTCCCATTTGACGGACGGGCCCGTGAGAGTCTTAGCAAGCTGGGTCAGCGTGGCATGGCGTGCCGCAATGCCCGTGATGCGGCATCGCGTCTTGGCGAGAGTGGCTTCACAGCCACGGATGCTGACGGCAGCGGCCTTGGCGGCGTCTGACCCACGTGCAACACGGATCCCCAATAGGCCTGACTTGCCGTGCCTGACGACTCCTAGGGCTTTGAAGTCCACCGACTTCTGAAACGCCTCTGCCATCGTGATGGGCTGGTCCTCGGGGAACCACACGGTCTGGTACTTGTCTGCCGTGGGCTCGTCCGCACCTACGTTGCTGAGGTCGTAGGTGGCGCCGAGTTGCCCCGAACCCGCCAAGACCTTGTCAACTGCTTGAAGACTGACGCCGAAAGTGGCAGCCAGGGACCTTTTTCCGACGCCAGATCCGTACCTGCCTAGACTTTTGCAGGGTTCGAGGATAGTGACGGCTTTAAAGTTGCCGTGGAAAAGGGCCTTGAAGGTGTCCTGAAGCTGACTGTCGAGCTCCTGGCGGCGAGCGTCTTTCTTAGACTCCCTGTGCTTTTGGTTTTGGCGCGCCTTGTCCTGTGGAGCGGAGTCCCCTCGGAAAGGACCCTTGGCGCGTGGACCACCGTTCACGGGGGCGCCTCCCGAGAACTGATCCTCGAAGGCCTGATGCATGGAGGGGACTGCGGCGATGGCTTCGGTTTCATGTATGGTCACCCGAATCCAGCATACGTGGTCGGCAGGATCAATGGTGGCGACGGCTACTTTTTCCGTGCAGGCGACTTCCTTGGTGCCCAGCTGGTACACGGTCACGGGGACGTGCGTGTGAACCACTTTGGGCGCCTTGGGGTGGCGCTTCAGCACGGGGACGGCGAGCTCGGTGCCGACGTAGTTGTCGTTTTTTGGGCCCATGACAGCGATAGCGAGCTGACCCGTGGTACGCTTACCCTGCTCGAGATGGTGCTGCAGCAGCCGCTCGCCGCTCTCGTAGTCGTGGAGGCTGATGCTGGGCTTGTACGTCTTGCCGTCGTCGAGTGATGTGGGTTCGGCCAGGACTGGGACCTTCCAGAAGGCCGGGTCCAAGGCAATAAATTTGGCGTCCGCAGCCTGAAGACGTGCGGACGCAGCTGGTGGATAGGATGTGTCACCACCATTGCGCTTAGGCTTGCTGCGCTGGTGGTGATCCAGCGTGTAGCTGATCTGGTTGGCGGCACACATGCGAATCAAGGCACTGCCGAGCTTCTTGGTGTTGGTCTTGTGCATGTCGTACGTGGCCTGCAGCTCGTCCGCGTTCAGCTCGGCGAGCCCGTTGTATGCGGCTGTGGGGCGGTCAGACCCCGCTTGCTTGAAGGCTGCAATGCAGTCCTGTTTGCGTTGGAGGAGGGATCCTTCAGCTGCAGGACGTGAGCTCGGCGGCTGCTTGGAAGAGCGACGGCGCTCCGGCTTGGCGGGGGCCATTGCGGCGGGCGCTCTGGTGGGAGGGAAGAGGTGACGCGAATCAGTAGGGTCCTGCTGGGACCCCTCCGGTCTCGCGAGGCCTGGGAGACTGGCTCCGAGGCGGGGCGCTTCGCGTCGCGGCTGCGGTCTGAGTGCAGGGCACTCTCGAGCCGAGACTAGAGAGAGAGAGAGAGAGAGAGAGAGAGAGAGAGAGAGAGAGAGAGAGAGAGAGAGAGAGAGAGAGAGAGAGAGAGAGAGAGAGAGAGAGAGAGAGAGAGAGAGAGAGAGAGAGAGAGCGAGAGAGAGAGAGAGAGAGAGAGAGCAGAGAGAGAGAGAGAGAGAGAGAGAGAGAGAGAGAGAGTCAGAGGGGGAGAGGGGGGAAGGGAGGGACAAGAAGGGAGCGAGGGGGGAGGGAGGGAGGGAGAGGGAGGAGAGGGAGGAGGGAGGGGGAGAGAAGAGAGAAGAGAGAGAGAGAGAGAGAGAGAGAGAGAGAGAGAGAGAGAGAGAGAGGGAGAGAGAGAGAGAGAGAGAGAGAGAGAGAGAGAGAGAGAGAGAGAGAGAGAGAGAGAGAGAGGAGAGAGAGAGAGAGAGAGAGAGAGAGAGAGAGAGAGAGAGAGAGAGAGAGAGAGAGAGAGAGAGAGAGAGAGAGAGAGAGAGAGAGAGAGAGAGAGAGAGAGAGAGAGGGAGGGAGGGAGGGAGGGGCCGAGATGGGGGAGGGAGGAGCGAGAAGGGAGGGAGGGAGGAGGGAGGGAGGGGGACGAGCGCCCCACGAAGCCAACGAGGCCACGTTGCACAATTCTCGTCGGAGTCGCGCTCGGGTGATCTCGGGGGATCTGGGGCCAGCGGTTGGGCAAGGCCTGAAGCGTGGAACAAGGCGGAACGACGGGATCATTTGGCAATGAAGCGCAAGACTGATCGGACCCGACGAGCTCGCCATGAACAGCAAGTGGCGGCAACGAGGCGGGCGCGGGGCCCCGCCCTCAAGACAGGAACCCGTCCTCCAAGGGAAGCCGCCCTCAAAACAGAAAGCCGCCCTCAAGACAAGAATCCGCCCTAAAAACAGGAAGCCGCCCTCAAGACAGGTAAGTGAGCCTCGAACTTCAAAGTGGTGCATTATGGAGCCGCCCTCAAAACTTCAAGACAAGAACCCGTCCCCCGAGGGAATCGCGGCGCGAGCGGTCCCTACCTCAGACGTCCCACTCGTCGGCGTCTGGGACGAAGACGCCCTTGATGCCGTCGTGGGTGTGCGCGACGTGATTCAACTCCTCCTTGATGGATCCGTAGATCTGCTGGTAGGCCTGCATGGTGAAGAACAAATGCGCCTTGCCGCGAAACATCACGGAAGGGGCCTCGTCCCCGCCGCCACCGTCCTCGCCCCCGCCGCCACCGTCCCCGCCGTCAGGAGAGCCATCGCGTGAGCCATCATCGCTGCCGGACTCGATGACCTCGTCCGAATCTGAATTGCTGCTGCTGCTGCTGACGTAGACCTGCTCCTCGCGCGACGCGACGCCGATCTCGTCCTAGAGCGCGGCGGCGAGGAGGGGCCCGGGCCCGGGCGAGGGACTGAGGAGGCTGCCGAGAAGAATCACAAGGTGGAGGAAGAGGGCGAGAGGGGGGGAAGGGCGGCGAGAGGAGGGGCAGGGCGAGGAGGACGAGGTGACGAGGGCGAGGAGGGCGAAGCGGAAGGCCGAGGGCCGAGGATGAGGGAGAGTAGGGAAGGGAGGGTGTCCCGCTCAACTCATCCACCCCTCGTCTCCTCGGCTCTGCCCTCTCCTCCTCCTCGCTTGCGACCCCTCTCCGAGAACGCGTTTCGATCGGCCCCTGGGCCCCAGGGTCGGCGAGGAGGGGAGGCGATGCGAAAGAGCGAACCGCCCAAGTTGCCAGGCCCACAACAGCCTTCCGACCCGAAGTCAGGCGCACCGCTTCCGCCAACGGGGCCGCGGCGACGATCACCAGCCAGACAGCGAAGAGGACAGCGCCGCAGAAGGCATTGCCCGCCAAGTCCATCAACTCGTCCTGCCCGAACTCCTCGCCGAACCCCGAATTGTCTGCCTGCTTCTGGAACGTATGCGTGAACCCCTGCAAAGCTAGGCACTCCTCGCCTGTTCCGACGGCCCCTGAATGCCATCCAGGGCTAGGGCGGGGCGCAGCGGCGAAGCAACCGACGGCGACGGCGACGAAATCGACGACGAGGACAACCGCGGCGACGGCATGCGGGGCAGGGGAAAGGAGAGGAGGATACGAAGACGAACTGACCGTCCTCGTTTCTAGTCGAAGAAGGAGAGAGACGGCAACGAGGGAAGAGGGGGGCGAGGGGCGAGGGGCGAGGGCTCGAGGGGAGGAGGTGCGAGGATCCAGAGCGCGAGAAGCGATGGGTCGAGAGGCGAGGGGGAGAAGTGCGAGGGTCGAGAAGGCAAGGTGCGAGGGATCGAGAATCGAGAACCGAAGAGAAAACAGATGCGTCATGGGGGCGTCGCCTGGAAGCCGCAAAGCCGACTGAATAAGAGCCTGTCCACAACTTTGTCCTTCACCTTGGCAGGGCTCCTCCTACACATCCCCACATCACCCCTCCCACGCATCCGCCCCCGCCTGCTGCCCCCCGCCCCAAGGGGGTGACCTTGCCGCAAGTGCCGACCCCCCGGGCCCACATCAAAGAGGAGCTCACGATCGTCGCGGTGCGGTTCTCGCGGACCTTGCCCCAGCTGCTGGACATGTTCATGTCCAAGACGTCTATGGTCTTGAGCCCCGAGGCAGGCCCCTCAGTTGATTCCCAAAGATAGAGCAACTCCTTCGGCCGCTGAGGCAACCCCGCTGCCTTCTCCAGGAACTCCTCCGGAAAAGTGGGAGGATAATCGATATGTGCATGCAGGTAGTAGTCCATGTGGTCGGACCTGTACTTGGGCCCCTCCTTATCCTTCTCCTTCTTGGGCTTCTTCGTCGTCTTCGGCTTGGACTCGGACTCCTCCTTTCGGGCGCTGTTCATCCTCGCCACCGCGGGGTCGTCGTTCGACAGCAAGAACGCCGATAAAGGGCAACCTGCGACGACTCCGGGGACGCTCTCAAACCGTTCCGGGGGCCGCTGGAGCGACCACTCGCGGGGGGCCAGGTTGGAGATCTGCGCCTAACGCCCGAGAGGGTTCACGGAGAGGGGTCAGCGAGGGCTCCAAAGGGGGAATGGCAGAGCCCCGAAGCGGAGTGGCGAGGCAAGAGGGGAAGGGGGGCTGAGGCCAACCCGAGTGCCTAAGAGGGGCTCGGGGATCCCAAAAGCCAAGGCCCCGCATGGTGAGGAGGGGGGGGGGGGCAAGGGCAAGGGCACTTCGCCGCGCAGCCTTCGATGCCGGCGATGGCGTGGATCATGCCCACCATGTCCCGCTGCCAGGCTGGCGCCTCGAAGTCGTCGTCAAGCTGGGAGATCTTCTCATCTGCTATACGCACTCCGATCACGTAGTACCGCTCTCTCTTGGAAGGCACGCCGTAATCCAAAGCATCGAGCACGAGCGGCGTGCATAAATAGCCCGCTTCGTTGGCCAATGCCACGATTGAATCCAAATTGCTGGGGCCACCGTCAGAGGGCTTCACCGACAAAATCTTAACGTTCTCAATGATAAACACCGCCGGGTGGTGCGCGGCGATGCACCTCATGCATGCCCTGGCTGTCCCGCCTGCGGGCGGGGGCGCGAGGGGGGATGGGAACGTCATTTGACCTCCCCCTGATTTGCCCCCCTCCTCCGTCATCCTACTCTCCTCTCATCCACATCCTAGCGCCCTCCTTCTCCAATCCTTCACCGCCTCCCGCCCTGGCCCCCCCCCCCCCATGTTCGAAACAAAATATCATCCAGCTGCCTGTCGGGGCCGCCACCTGGACCCCTGGGCCCTGGTGGGACTTGCAAGTGACTTGGCTGCGCGACCGACCTCCCCTCCCCGCCCCCATGGGCCCCTGAGCCCCGGCAGATCTTAAACCGCCAAAGCTGCGGCGCCTGTTTTCGACTGCTCCTCTGCGTCGTCGCCCTCCTTCGACACGCACCCGTGGTTGTCGCTCCTGTGGACGTTGCACGGGCTGATTGAATCACATTCGATCCCGCAGGTGAACATCAATACCTGTGGAATTCGCTGGGGCGCGTCATCCACGTCAGTCGTGATCGAAGAGTTAAGCAGGTTGAGGTCGGGGAAGAGGGCGGCCGTGGGAAAGAACCACTTCAAGAAGTCCTGCTTAAAGGGAACATTCTCGCAGCTGAATTTGTGCTGGACGGTCATGTCCAACCCGCATTCGCCGCGCACGAAACCGAAGAAATCCACCAACGATAAGACCGCAACATCAGTGCCACTGCAGCCAGTCCCCACGGTGAACTCCCCCCCACACGCCCGATGCAAGCTGGTCGCGCCCTGCGAGAAGCGGAGCTTATCTGCAGGCCCTAAGCGATGCCAGAGCTGCTGGAGTATCGTCTTCATGGGATCGTCGGCGCCCTCCTTCGGCGCCAGCGGTCGGGGGCGGCGAATGCGGGCGCGAGATGAGCAGCGGGCAAGTGGGGGGTTGGCAAATGGGCGAAGCGAGGAGGGCAACGAAGGGGGAAAGGGACGAAGAGGGCGAGGAAAGAGGGCGATCGGGTGAGGAGGATATGGGCCATGGTGGAGGGCGGCAGAGGAAAGAGGTGGGGGCGGGGAGGAGGGGGAGAACGACGGGGGAGGGACGGATGAGGACGAAGAAGAGGGGGGCGGGGGAGGCGGGAGCACGGGGAGGGGGCGGATGAGGAGGGAGGAGGGGGGAGGAAGAAGAGGCGGGCGAGGGCGGATAAGGAGGGGGATGAGGAGGCCGAGGAAGCCTTCCTCCCCCCGTTCCTTCCTCCCCACCCCTCCCCGACGAAACTCCCGGGCGGCCTTCCGGGCCCCGACGGGCGCGGGCAAAAAATTCTGCGCGGCCGGCCGCCGCCGCCAATCCGTCTGAAGCCTCGGGGCGCCAGGGGGGCCTTGGAAGGTGCACTTCCGGGGGGGTGGACCAAATATTATTCTGAAGCCTGACCAAATATTATTCCTCGAGCCCGCTCGAGGAATAATTATTGGTCAGGCTTCAGAATAATATTTGGTCAACCCACCTTCCGGACCACCTTCCGGGCCACCTTCCGGGCTGGGAGGGGCCCCCGGCGCTCGGGCGCGTTCGCGAGCGCCGCCGGCGCGCTCGCGCCACCTTCCGGGCCACCTTCCGGGCCACCTTCCGGGCCGCCTTCCGGGCCAGCTTCCGGGCCCCCTTCCGGGCGCGCTCGCGCCCGCGATGAGGCGGGGGCGGCAAGGGCGGCATAGAGAGACGGGGAGGTTTATACGGTGGAAGGCGGGAGGAGGGATGAACGAGGAGGGAGGAGGGAGCAGGGAGGAGGCGTGAGAGAGGAAGGAGGAGGGGGAAGAGGCGGAGGAAGAGGATTGAGGAAAAGGGATTTGGGAAATGGGGCGATACGGAAGAGTAGGGGGATGATGATGATGATGATGATGACGCGCCTTGAAAGGTCGGTTCTCCCTAAACACAAACCCGAGAAGCCACCAATACGCCAAACGCGTACGGTAGAGAAAGAGGGAAGCGGGGGGAAGCGGGGGAGAGGCGGGAGAGGAGAGGGCAGATCAAAGAAGAATCCCAGCCCAAGATTGAAGCCCATGATATAGAACACAATCAAGAAAGTAAACCACCTGTCCAATTCTGACAGAAATCATGATTGAAACTCGTGATACTCAAAGAAATCATGATTGGTTAAAACCCGCCTTGAATTGAACCCAGGATACTGAATAAAAACCCACCCACTTTGAATAAAGGTGTGAGCAATGAGAAACGCAATGCAAGGTGATGGATTGTGCTTGATTGGTCAAAATATCTTGATATCTTGAGTGACTTGAGTGGCTCCCGTAACTTGAGTAACCCGAATACCTTGCTTGACTTGCGCAAATCACGAAGTGAGGTGAAGAGAACTTTCATTGAGTCCCTTAAACCCAAAATACATAAGTACATAAGTGATAACCCAATCCATTAAAAGTGGTGAAAGAAGGCAAGACATTGAACTGAATGTCCCAAGCACGCAATGACCCAGAAGACATGGAGGCATACAAAGATAGAACTGTAAAGTCGAGTGAGCTCAACTGTGAGGACCCACTCCAGGTGAACCAAGACATATAAGGTGATTGAATTCAAGCAGGTATGACGCGAAATGCAGTGGGTGTTTAAGGTTTGTATTTAGCCCACAACCGACGTTGAAGAACATGCAAGGGAGATTGAGGGGAGACTGAGAAACCTCCAAAGGCCGCAGGCCCATGCACCGCAGACGCCCAGAGGTAAGGACTGGGGGAATCCCAAGAATGGTAATCATGGATACTTCCAACGCCACTTTTCCACAAAGAAGTCTCCATCCCACCAATAGTCCGAAAGGTACCAGATCACTGGGTAGGGCCAGCCCGATTCGGGATCAAACCACGTGTCATAGTACTCTGTGTACCAGACTTTGGTGTAGACCTTTTCTTCTTCGCAGTAGTTCCACATTCCACCCGAACCTTGAAACCACTTGAGACGCTTCCTGGATTCCAGCTTGGCTGGAAGGCATCGTTTGACCATCCCCTGACTTTATATGGATGTTCCCAGCCGTTTCGTACAGGACTACCGCCAGGGTTTGAGGCGAAACGGCTACTGACCAACAGCCAATTCTTTCCAAGGAACTCTCCGAGCCCTTTCGTCGGGTCCTCTAACGTTTACATAAAGTCTATTAAAGCCGCTGTCCCGACACGCTTCGAAGAGCGGAATTTTGCACCAGTCATATGTAAGGTGTGGACCACCAAGGTCCGAAGCAATAAGGAACCGAGCTGGCAACTTTACCGCTCTTTGGAATAGCAGCGTGGAGCAGTAAGAGAGTGCTTCAAGGTCTTGTTTGGATAAGAAGCAAACCCTGCGTTTAGACCTGCAAAGCTTCCCCTGAAAGTAAACGTGAGGGTCGGACGCCTTGGGAAGTAGCACACCGAAATCTTGAGCCCGATACTGCAGTGGGGCGACAGGGGCAAGGGACGATAGAGGGCCCACCAGAGGCAGACAGAGGAAGGCGGGATTGTTGCGAAGCCACGGTGTCCCTACGATCACAGAGATCAGGCGGGTCCCAGATAGAATCGCATAAGTGACATCTCCTGGTGTCAGCCAATCCCGAAGGCGGGAGACAAAGGAGAGAGAACACAAAGTGGTCTCGAAACAGACCAAATTCTGTTGGGGTGTCAAAAACCCCGCTCCATTAGTATTGGAGCCTGTTCTCAGATGCTGCCATCAGGTAAGATACCCAAACCTCTGAGGATTTCGTCACATTAAATTTGTGGACTTGCATTCCGTGGAGGACGAGGAAGAGGAAGAACGAGCAGGAAGACGAGGAAGACGTGGCAGGAAATCGCCATCGCCGTCGTCGTCGTTTCCCCCGAGCCTCCCGCTGGGGGAAGTCATGCGCCGCCAGGGAGCCGTCGGGGTAGCGGCCGCAGGCGTTGCAGACGAACGCGTCTGGGCTGAAGAACTGGAAGCAAGAAGAGCACTGCCATGAGCCGTCGGTGGCCTGGCAGAACACGCAATACACGCAAGCGCATGCCGCATGACTCAGCCCCCCCCCCTTCCCCGCCCCATCCCGCGCCCCGCCCCTGTCCACCGATGGCCCGGCGCAATGCTCAGAGGCGGCGAGGGGCGCGGGGCATGGGGCAGAGAAGGAGAGGGAGAATAATATACCTTACTGCTGGCCTGAAGTGCCCGCCCGTACCGCGCCCCCCCTCGAGGCCCCCCATCGAGGCCCCCAGGAGGAGGAGGGGGGGTGGGGATGAGGGAGAAGGAGGGGGAAGAAGAAGGGGAGGGGGAGGAGGAGAAGGCGGCGGGAGGAGAAGGAGGAGGAGGATGGGGGAGGAGGAGGGCGAGGAGGAGGACTGGGAGGAGAAGGAGGACGAGGAAGAGGAGGAGGAGGAGGAGGAGGAGGAGACCCGTTCGACTGCGTTTGTTTAGGAGATGTCTCAAGCGAAACGCTTACTTGAACAAAATCTAAAACTCG